CCATGGAGACATTTGGCAAATCAGGAGATCCAACCACATAAGACTCAGGCTACTTTTTGATTTGTTTATTTTTCTGTTCAAAAGGCTAAATCATTCCTCCACACTAGTAAAAGTTTGAAACTTAGCTTATCCCAAGGACCCGAGGTGCAATTCAAAGTTGAGCTGTGTAATAATTTTCAAAGTAGGTTTCCTCTGCCCTCATTGGGCACCGTGTAGCATAAATGGTAATTGGAAATGAACAAGGCATTGGTTAAATTAAGCTACAAGCCTCAATACATACATAGAACAATATTTTTAGGGTAAAACATTTCACTTGGATATTCTGCAAATATAACAGATTCAACAAATGATATGAAACATCTGCTGAGGGGTTTTTTGTAGAAGAAAAACAGGAACTGCATTTCATCACAGAATAACTTTTACCAGGTTAACCATCTTCCACAATAAAATCTGTTATTCCAGACTCATTCCAGGTTGGCATATGTCTAACCTATTTTTAAAAACATCCATTTTGGATTCCTTAATTTCTTTCTGAGGAACATAGAGCCATACCATGTCTCTGTCATCTGTCATTGTTTCTTCTTACTGAAGACTGCACACAGTCTAACAAAGTTGTACAGTTGTTCATAGCTCATTGGGATACTATTTTGTGCATTATAGTTATCAATGAATTCTTGAAAAATAGGCAGTTTTCTACAAGTGCCACAAAGCGAATCAGTCTGGCACCCTGCAGATTACTATACACATGACAATAGCCTTTGTTAGCATAATGTATTATAATGCATTATGTAGTGGGTCTCTGAGGTTTAGTAATCCCTGTCAGCAACCAGAATAAATGGAAATAGCTTCCAGGAGATGCAAGGCCTATGAAAAGACTGTTATTTTTCAAGAACTAGAAGCATTCAGACTCACACATGCAGCCTTTGAAACAAAATCTCATGAACAATCTTTCATCACAATCATTTGTGAAAGTCAAATGCTATAATTGTACTTAAGAGAATAAAGAGAAATTGAACTGAACACTAGCAGTTCTGTACTTTCCCTATTGAAAAAAAAATATTCGGCATATTCTCTTAGGCTTGGTGACAGCACAAGTTTTTAATTTTGACTTTTGAATATGCTTAGACATGGAATTTGTTAGCTGAAGATAGCCAGGTTCCACATAAAAATATGCACACCTCTTAGAGGAGGGTGTCTAAGCCACAAGTGAGAGCATTTTCTACTTCAATGCACAACTGTATTGAAAAAAAAATCATTAATATTAGATAACAGAGCATAACCTGCATGGGATGAAGGTGCACCAGGATTACTGAACTCCTGAAGCCATAACTCCCATGCAGACTGGGAAAGGCATCTCTTACACTACACTTGCCCTGCTTTTTATGCCCTTCCCCTCGGCATCTCCCAGTGACCTTTAGCAGAGAGATAGTACTAATCTAGCTGGAGCTTTGATGTGAGCTAGTACAGCTGCACTAGTTTCCTTATGGTGCTGTGAGCTATTGATATATTTAGTAAAGTTTTTCAAATTTTACTAGTGTAGAACAATTGAGGGCAAAATACCAAAACCCTCCAGATCAATTGAAGTTACTAAAACATCTTCAGAAATGCTTAGCTAACTGTTGTTGATACTATAAATGATAATACATACTACTGTCTTTATGCAGAACTGCTAATTCTCTGTAGCATTCCACTCTGCTATTTACACCTTCATTTCTTCCCGTATTTTTAAAGCACTCATCACTGGTTAAATGATCAAAGGCTCTAACAAAACTATCCTTTAATATCACGCTGCACTCATACCATAAGGCATCAGAAAATCAAATAAGCTCTGTTGCTAGAATTCCACAAGAAAAATCCTTACAACCCAAAACACTGAAATGCTTTGGCCTCAGCAGAGTTGCCAGGTACAACACTCAACAGCCAACTGCAATTGCAGCCTGAAGCTGCAGTGCCACTCTGCATGCACATTGCTTGCCTCTGCAGAAGCTTTCACTGTTTAGTCTTCATCTCTTGATTAGATTAAATTAAGGTATAGCTGTAACCTTAACCAAGCCATTTATTCTATATTTAACCTTGCAGACATGCATAGAAATGCAAGTGGGGTGAGAAAGTGTTAAATTAGGAGAAAGATAGGAAACATCCTATTGGTAAATCTACTTCCTAAAATCTTTCCTGATCTGAGTCACAGGAAGTTAGCACTGCTTATTCCAGCAAAGCCAATCTTTAATTGTCTGTGCCATGTTTTTCTGGACTACTGTTACCATCTTCTCCAGTCTTTTGTCAAGCATCACCTTTTACCAAGGTAGTGGCAAACATCCTAAAGACCAATCAGAATCACAAAAAGCTGACTTCATCCTATTTTCAGAATACGCCATCTGTAACAAAATCAGCAGCTGAAATACCTTCCTGCTTTGCATTTTTAGTGTTATTCTTTGTCTGAAGTAGAGCCTGGGTTTTTTCCACTACATTTTGTCTTTGAAGCAGTAAAGTTGCAAGCACTCAAGGATTTAAATTCAGAGGGCTTGAATGATGCAAAGCATTAGTTTATTTTCCTGATGCTTTGTTCCCTCTGGGCATTGAGAGTATCATCTCATAAGATGATAGAGAGGGCTCCCTTAGCAAAATGAAACTAGTTGTCAGTACTGCAACCAAAAAGATGGAAGGATGTTGAGACGAAAATAGAAGGTCCTTCTGCTGCCGTGCTTCACCTCCTCAAACTGCTTATTCTTGAGCTTAGCAGTCTTTACCCATCAGCTGCTGTAAAAGTGCTCTTTGAAGCCATTTACCAGCACAACTCTCTGCTGATCAGGGGTGGGGAAGACTGCAGTTTGCAACAGCTGAGGAGGAATGATCACACACCACCTGGGTGTGAGTCATTCTCCCTGACTGGCAAACTGACCTTACTCCGGTGGGAGCGGGGTGGAGATTGACTCTGTTCTTATTAGGGCCAGAAGGAAACCTTTAGAGAGCGGAAATGAGTACAGTACCTTTGGTCACTCATTGCTTGCCTGTCTAACCATATTCAGCACTCTCAAGTGGCTGTTGAAGAGGGAAAGACTACTCTGCCTTTTGCTGGCAGTGGGCAGGCTCTGATGTTAGCATACACGTATGGAATCTGGCAGCAGCAGCAACTGCACTGCTCATTAGGACACTAAATGGCACTGTGCAGTGCAAGCAGTGTAAAGGTCCTTGCTTTCATGAAAACAGCAAATTATAAGTGAAGAGTGGGCATCTTTGTATCTTACTTTATTTATTTGGCTTTGAAGAAGATTTGACAAAATATTCCCTGTATGACTGCTTTAGGGTCATTTGCAGGGAGAGTACAAGTGACTGCCGTCTGCCTAAGGGTGTCTCCAGCAATGAAAGAATTCACTCTGTTGTTGTACAGTTACTTTTTAATAACTGAATTCTCAACCACACATTCCCTTCTGCTCTAGATTGTCCCCTCTGCTTCAGTCATACCCTGTACAAGTAGATTGGCACAAGAAGTGCTCAGTTCTTTTGTCTTCTGCTCTTACCTTCTTCCACTTACTGTTCTCTGTAGAGGTGATGGGGATATACTCCAGGACAGCATCAAATTAGTCAAGTAAAACATGCAATTGTAACAAAAAGATAGTAGTTCCTACCCTAAGAAGTGGAGAAGAAAACTGAAGATGGACCTTTATGCAGGAAGGTGAAATGTTTTGTTCACCACACAGAGGGTCAGAACACGGAACCTCCCACAGGCCTTGGGAAGCTTCTGCAGTCTGGGTGCTTAGAAGCTAAAAAGAAAGGACAATTTCTGACACTGTACCAAAGAATGAGAATGAAATCCCAGCTGTCTCAGAGATGGTAGGACTTCAGAGACTAGTTTGAAAAGTTATCTGAGCATGTAGGGCTGTGACAACTGGATTAAAAGAAAAGAGCTAGCTGCTATATGATACTAAGTGGTAGGCTAAATTATAACAGAGTGGTTATAGAGTCTTACAGACTATATTGTACAGCCCATGTGCATAATTTACAGGGTACACAGATTTGTAACCTGACAAGAGGAGTGCCAGAGCATTTAAGGTCCCCAGTTTTGCACCATTCAGTCAGCTTACTTCCTTAATATTCACTTTACAATAAATAACAATATAAGAATAACAAGAATAATTGTTACAAGAATAACAATAAGAAGTAATTTTTAAAATCACAAAATCAAATTAAATAACAAGGTAGTTATACATGAAGGTACACTTTCTTATAGGGAAAGTCCTGTAAGGACTGTCATGACTGTTCTTCACTGAGTGCCTTGAATTGAAGCCAGACCTGCAGCTGCCAAAAGCCCCTTTAGCCCAGATGGAAATCTCAGGACTGACCAAAAAAATTAAACAGCATGTACTACAACTGTACCAAGTGCCATGGGTTTTTTATGGAAATCTTCCTTTCCTGTATGGACTAAACAGCACACTCTATTAATGAAAACAACAGGACTTAGTGGATTTGTAGCCTGAGAGCACCATGTCTGCAGGACTGTGCTGAACACCTTTGCCTTGCTATCAACAGTACCAACAGTACTCTTTTCAGCAGCAAATTTAAACCCCTAGTCTTAGATTCAGGTCAGATCTCTGGATCTTGGAGGACTTCAAATCTTTAGTTACTGAAAAATTTGATAATCTGTTTAGGAGTACAAGTGTTTTAACCAGATCAAGTGCTATAAAAATCTGGGGTTTCACTGTTTGAATAACGATAGACCATTCAAGTACAACCACTTGCAGAAACCATAAAAATTCTTTCTCTATGCATCACACTTGGTATGTGAGGAAAATTAAGAGTAGGAATTGCTTCTGAAGTTAAGGTATCCGTCTTATGTACACGTGTATTTGAATGCAAGCTGAATATAAATATAAAGTTTGTGTATTTACCATTAGTGGAGTTATCTACTCATAAGTAAACAAATATTTTAGTCGAAGAGGGCCTACCTTTTCTTGTGCTTCCCTTCTGAAATATAAAGATTTTTTTAATTTTGTTCTTTCTAGCTCTGTTTTGTGATGTTTTGGACGCCAAACGTGTCAGAGAAGATTTTAGTTGACATAATTGGAGTAGACTTCGCTTTTGCAGAGCTGTGTGTCGTTCCTTTGCGCATCTTCTCCTTTTTTCCACTTCCAGGTAAAAAAATAAAAGGAAAATAAAAGTTCTGTAACCTCAGGGGCTCCTTCAGAGCATAAGCATTGTATAATGAAAGTTAATACTTCTATCAAAGAGCAAGAAAAGCTGGACAACCATTATCAAAATGTTTCAGATTTCTAGCTCTGTAATTAAATACAACGTCTTTTAGTGTTTTCTGTTTATATGACAAGACAGTTTCCTAATAAAGGTAAGTTACAATAATAAGTACATGTAGATACCCTTTTTGTGCCTGTTATACCATGTGCCACACAGGATCCAGATGGAAATTTTTCCTTGGTAGAACTTCTCTTTAAGGAAGGGGATAGCTTGGGGTTTTTTTAATGAAGAAAACAGAATGGACTGACCAATAAATTGGTTTTAAGAAAACAGCTCTTAGAGAACAGCTCTTTTTTTTCTTTCTTCATTTTCCCAAATCAGCGGGAAAACATAAGATCTGCTTCCTTTCTAGTAGGGTGCAACGTTACCAGCAGTCAAGTTTTGTAGTGGTTATTCCTGAACAGTGCTCTCTGCATGGAAAAACTGCATATGAAATGACTGATTTATTTTTTTACTATTCTTGCCTCTTTTTCTCCCCTGTTTATGAACAGTGACTGTCAGAGCACACTTAACTGGTTGGCTGATGACTCTGAAGAAGACATTTGTGTTGGCACCCAGCTCAGTGCTGCGGATTATCGTCCTCATCACCAGTCTCATCGTGCTGCCTTACTTAGGGTAAATCATTATTCCTCACAGAACCCCTGGATTTGCTTCCCTCTTCATTCCTCTTCCCTGTCACTTGATAGCTGAATTTGCATAGCTCGGAACATTTTCTCCAAATACTAACCATGATACAAAGCCTAAATAGTGTCACTATCTGGAAGAGAAACATTTATAAATTTACAAGTGTGACTGCTCTAGACAGGCACAATAGTGATGTTCCTTTGGAAAAAATACACCAATGTCAAAGAGGCAAAAATGTATCTTAAGGGGAATTTATTTCCATGTTATTAAACTCACTGTTAAGAAAGCTAATGGAACAATATCTTGTTTATAAGTTTAATAATCTATTCTCCAGCACACTGTACAAGACTTCAAATTCTTAGTCCATAATTTGATTCAGTGTGCTTCTTTTACTGAACAGTGTAGCCATTAAAAACAAACAAGTCCTTTAAAATACCAGTTATTCTCTTAGGCAGTGTATTGTGTCTTTGAAGAAAATATTTCTATCATCAGATTGGTTATATATGCCAGTGAAAATGTAATTATGAATCATGCATTCTCACACAACAATGACTGCTTTCTTTCTATGCCTCCAACAGAGTTCATGGAGCCACTCTTGGAGTAGGATCCCTTCTCGCTGGTTTTGTAGGAGAATCCACCATGGTTGCAATAGCAGCCTGTTACGTCTATAGGAAGCAGGTAAGAATTAGTCTCTGTGGGATCTGATTAAAGCAGGCGGTGAATGTAGTGAATTTTAGTTCAGATTAAGTTACACTTCAGCAACGTGACTTCCCAGAATCCTCACTTTGGTTTGCTTGCCTGTCAAGTCTCAGGAGTGTGCAGCTTGGAAAGTGTTTGGGTTGAAATAAAACCAAAAGGTCCCCTCCAGCTGTTAATGGGCACCTAGGCCATGGGACATGCTGGTCTGCAGTCAGAGACCTCTTGCTCCTCAAAACACGTGTATCATGGATATCCTGTCCTTACCAGCAGCACTTTTGCACTGTATATTTGCTGCTGCAGTACAGCTTAGCACCTTTATGTAGGCACAGGAACTACTCATCCAAGCTTACAATATGTGTATGTATATGTGTATACAATCATAGAATCACCAAATCACAGAATGATAGAATGCTTTGGGTTGGAAGAAACCTTAGAGTTCCAACGAGTTCCAAGTTCCTTCACATGGAAGGTGTTATGTAGTGTTACATAGTGTGCACATTTACATCTGTAGGTATACACTATGTAATACGTATATCTCTGTATTTATACATTTTATTTCTTTATAAAACCAGCTCTGCTGAAAATCAACAAGTACAGGTGCTTATGGTTTTTTGCCATCCAGAGGAGTGGCTTAAAACAAGACTACTCCTGCAGCAGTTGACAGTAAGAGCTTATAAATAATTAAACAGGTGCTTTTTTGCATACTTTAAACACTACAACCCTGCATGTGTGGAGTAGTGGTGAAACATGGATTTTGAAGAAGATTCCACTAAATTAGGTCAAACACAGGATAAATATTGGCTGGGTGACTGGGTACATTGCAGTACCTGGATGTTGCTCCCTTTCAGTTATATGTTCAAGGCACCATGTAGGGCACTAGGTCCAGCTCCAAGCAGAACCAGCAAAGTGTGTACTTCATTCTATAGTACAGAAGGACTCTGTGGATGGAAACAGAAAATATAATCTATGCAGTGACTTTTTTTAAAATTAGACTTCTTACAAAGTGCCAAGTGGAAATACCCACCACTTCTATTTTTGAAAAAAAAAAAAAAAAAAGCCAAACTACAGAAGATGGAATATCTAAAAGCCTTATATTGGAACAACCTAAAACCAGTTTTGATATGTGCTGACAGTACAGGCCATGGCAAGATATCAAAGTGTACAAGGTTCATAAGGCAGTAGAAGAATCATAATGTCTGTCATTATTAATTTGTCATGTTTGCCTTGGGAACCAAGGAGAAAAACTTTAAGACACTGAAATGGCTTGTCTTGACCTTTGGTTTCACAACATCCTCATTACTAGTTTGTTACCATAGTAGCTCACAGAGTCTTTCTGGCCAGGGACATTGTGCTTAATTTTTCTCAGCAGTGAGTGCAGGTAGTAGGAGTAATAACTGTGCCAGCCTAATTTATTTTTTATTCAGTGTGACAGTGGCAGAGCCAACCAGTAGCTCTATTACACCAGGTTGTTCTGACCTGCAGTTGGAGAGCTGCAGATCAAATGTTATGTAGACACCTCTGAAATTTTGGAACTCTGATACACCCATCTCAGCTGAATCAATAATACCTGTGGGGGATATTTTGTCAGCTGCACAATTGTTTTCAGTAAAACTAGTCAGCCTGCTGAGAAATGGGTAATAAGGAACAGATGCTGCAACTTGTTTTTTAGGGGGCTGAACTCTTCTTAGCTTTACTAATCCAGGACATCCTGGATGAATCATAGGACTCTTGAATGACCTCCTGCTCCTGCTGGCCAAAAATACTCTAATATTACTTTGCTTTGGTGAGGCAAGAGATTACAGTGGATCAGCAACACTAAGAAAAGCCAGAATGCTCACATCTTGTAAAATTCCTGAAGTCTGACATTTGAGAAATTAGGTTGCCACCTCGCCTCCCTCCCTAGAGAAGCTTTTCTTCTCTCACTTTTTGTTTTCCTCCCTTTTTTAAAATAAAAAGTCTGTGATGTAAAAGATTCCAGATGCTCTCTTCCCTCCAGTCTTGCTGAAGCTTGTTTTGGATGTCGCTTAGCATAAGAAATGCCTGATTGCATTTATGTTAGAAAGGAGAAAACTGAGCCCCAGAAAGGCCACGGAAATCTTCTGAGTTAAGCCAAGTCATTAGTGGAAAGCCACAAATATGACACAAATATTATAGTTTTTAATAAAATACACTAACAAACCATATTCTCACCTCACTTCTCCCAATGTCCAGAGTTGATGGGAGTGTGATCATGCACAATTTACTGATAGGTTTCTGGGTGCTTGTTTCAATCTAGAAAAAGAAGAGGAATGAGAATGAGACAGCTGCAGAAGGTGAAGACTCTGCAATGACCGACATGCCTCACACGGAGGAAATGACAGACATCGTAGAAATGAGAGAAGAGAATGAATAATAAATGGGATGCAATTGTTCTCTGCAGGGACGATTGGAGTGACGCTTCAGCATCTTGTCGTCTCTCATACTTTTTTGTTTGTTCGTTTTTATTTTTGTAATAAAGAGGCCTTGATTTAAAAGGTTTCAGATAAATTCTCTAGCATACTGAGTATGCTCTCACTGATGAGGGACCTAAAAAGAGGTCTTTGCTTCTTTTTTTTTTTTTTTCCAATTGAATTTTTTTTTTTCTCACTCCATGCAAGCGTAAAAGATACAATTGCATCACTGTAGAGTCTTCCTTCCTTATGCATCCACCTTCTCTGGACAATCTGCATTTGTCAACCAAAGCCCTGCTCCTGTGCGCCTGTGCGTGTGCGGACCTGCGCTCGCACGCTCGCACACGCACACCGCCACGTGCCACTGGCTCAATGCTACTGCCATAACCCCACTCCCTCCCCTCTCTCCTTTTCCTTCCTTTTCTTTATGAGAAATGGAAAAGAAGTTTGGAATACAGAGCTTTATTTTACTTGCTTGAAAATGACTTTGCTACATAAACTAATATACTATGGTGAACTATATCTTTTTGTTTGGCCTCATCACTAGAGCTTATACTGCACAGGGTACAAGACAGGGAGGAACTTGGGAGTCTCCCCATAAAAAGTGGAGAAAAACATGTTCCTCTCTCATGTTGAAAGTGTGTGGATGTGTATATATACACACACAGGTACATGAACAGAGACATACATATATATATATTTATATATATATATGCATATGATAAATAAAATACACACAGGACAAGAACTCTATTTAGCTTTCATTCCATCAGAAAGATAGTAATCTTTTGAAAAATATAAACATTTAATTCAGAATTTTCTTGAATCATTAAGTCCCACCTTACATATAATTTTCTTTAGGAAAAAAAACATGCACTTTCCTCTTGTGAAGAGGGTGATGGCAACTGCTAGACTTTGACTGTATTTGAATAAAAGAAAAATAAATATTGACAAGCTTTACCAAAGTTCTTGTCCACTGACCTAACTTTAATTTTTAAAGGTTGATTTGTTCTCTATAATTATTTCTGGTGCCTCTATATTAAAAAAGAATAAGATCAGATAATGTATGCAGGATACCATGCTAGATAATATTACTACACATAGTTCCATGAAATTTTTTATATACAGATGTACACATACGTGTGTGTGCATGTGTATACTTACTTCTATACACATGCACACACACACAAAGAAATGTGTGTTTTGCTATAATATATTTACCTATGCAGTAGATTAAAATCCATGTGGTGAAGCTCAAGTACTGATGGTCCTCCAAGCTGAAAATTAGGGACTTTGGTGACCTGTCAGCTCTCAAGGCAGCGTTGTGTGGGAGCGAGGAGCCATCCACATCAGCCCCGTGGAGCTGTGCTTGCGGCTGGAGTGCGCCTTAAATAACAGCCTGAGGTCGGGTGGGAGACTCAGGCTGGGTGAAAATGAAGGCTGTGTAAGAGGTGAGGGAAGCAGAGATGTTTTGGGTATCACCAGTGCTGCTGTGGCAGCAGTTTGTGTTTCTGTGCTCTTCTGTGTTTGGCTGCGGGGCAGCACTTGTTACTGGTCTGTAGTAGATTGGGTCCTTTCAGATTTAATCATGTCAGAGTCTGGAAACCATTATCCTCCATCCTATATCCATAAATCAATTAATTTAAACCTTATTTAGTAAAAGTATATTTTTCTAAGTTGTGGAAATTATTATTTAATTGTGGACAAATTATGTTTCTAGATTTATTTGCCAGGTAGTCCCAGCAGTCAGAGAACTGATGAAAACTAAACATTACTTTAAATGTTTTATCAGTATATGTGTATGTAGACATACACATGTGTATAAATATATATATATATTGTATATTATGTACATTTATTTTAAACTACAATACGTTTCCTATTTTTCCAAGTACAGCTAAAAATGTCTCTACAAAACTACTGAGTTGACTAGTAACCAGTTATGGCCATCATGAAAGGCATTGTATCAATGAACTTTACATTTTATTGGAAATATTTGTACCAATTTGTTACATATGCAAATACAATAAGAAAAAAAAATTAGAAATTACTGTGTTAGCTGACAGATTTGCTAAATCAGTTTACGGTTAATGAGCAGTGGCACTAGAAGGGTAAGGCTAAAACCAGTAACCATGTTTGCTGTGTCACCACAGGGTAATACTTTTTGACAGTAGATTAAAACAAAATCTTTTAAAAAAAACCCTCAGACAAATTAATGTGTTCAGGATGTAAACTGTACACATTCGTGAATACAGGTTCTCAAACAGTCATATGTATATAATGTGTATATAGACAATTACAGATCACAGTGGCCATTTGAGGTCTTCTCTATTCATGTAGTTTTGGGTTCTCCAGTACATTTGTCTCCAAGTCCACAAGATGCAGTTTTTCAGGAACTGTAGAGATGAAGCAGGAAAATATTTTTGTGTAATGTTTGTATTTCTTTTAGTACATGACTAAAATTCAAACAGCAGTACTTCTGAAAAATTGTGAGCCTTACCAGTGTAGGTTTCAAGGTAATGATTGCACCAAAAAGTAAAAATCTGAAAACAACGGATAACACTGAGGCTTGTACTTTAGATAAAAGATAAACAAATTTTTAAAAATTAATTATTGGTCATACAGAGCTAAACTAATAGCTCTGTAAAAGATAAATTTTCAATTGTGTGTGTAATACTTGCTAGTCCTTTACTTTGCAAGATACTGAATGAGCACAGGAGTGGTGGGATTTGGGCAAGAATTGAAGCAGTGACATAAGGACACATGCATTGCATCTCTTTCTGCTTCCTGCAGGGCATGTATTTCTTTACATTTCTCTGCTGGATTAACAAAATGTGATGACATTTCTGCAGGGAGTGGGTCCCAGCCAGCCCCTCGTGCTGGTCCCACTGCTGGGCAGGCAGGGTGCTCAGCGAGGAGGGAGCTGTCCCTCTGTCCATTGCAGATACCAGGCATGCTTCTGGAATGTTGTCAGGAGCTTCAGCAACCTGCTGAAACCTCCTGCTCTCTGTTAGTGGCAAATTGAGCTGGGCTGGTGAAGCAGCCAGTGTGGTGGGCTACAGGTTGGGAGTGGGCAGACATCCTCTGCGGCCAGAGCCCCGGTCAGAGCATCACTGATAGCGTGTCTGTCAGGTAGATGCTGGCACATGCCCTGTCCTGCACTTCTTCCTTTCCAAAAGTACTTCCTTGAGTTCTAGTGCAATGGCTTAGCTGTGTCTTTCTTGTGCAGTTGTTTATGAAATGGTTATCTATCTCTGTGGTAGTTATTTTGCAATAGAAACCCATCCTGTTTCTGTGTCAGAGAGCTGGAGCATCGTCATCTCAGTGAATTCATGTGGAGACTCGGCCTTTCCAGACTGAATTACACAATTGAAGTTACAATAAAAAGAGGAAAAAAGTTGATCTGCATCATACATCTTGTATTTCAGAGCAGCTCACACAGAGGGAAATAAGAGCAGAGCACTGATAAGCTGTGGATTAATGTTCCTCAGCTTTTAATAAGTACATAAAGTTGTGTTAATGTGTCTTGAGCTTTCGTTTTTCAGAATTAAGAGAAAACATTGCAGGTTTTTTCCCCTCCCTGCCCTAAGCAGGCTCTCCAAGCACGGGACCTGATGGACAAAGCTCTGCATCTCTCAGCCGAAGCCATTTGGGTGCAGCAGCGGGTTCCCAGGCGTGGGGCAGTCCTGCTCCCCATCCCCCCTGGCACAGCCGTTCCAGGCAGGAGGGTTCAGATCCCTGCTTGTTTAGATAGAGCCGCCCTAAGTGAAAGGATTGGGTAAGTAACAGAGAAGTCTTCTTGTTTTCCACTCATTTTGCTGCGAAATATTTCCTTTGAGCAGGAGATTTATATCTGGCTCTTGCCCGGTGTTTCACCAAATCTGCAGCCAGAGCGAAGCAGCCCCAGACGGAGGCTTGGCTGATGAATGCAGCTGATTCAGGGCAGGCCACGGCCCACGAACAGAAACCTTTTGAAGGCAGGAGCGCCTTCTTTTATGGGATGGCGCCGCGTGCTTAGAAAGAAGGCAGAAAGGATGCTTTCAGGCCGGGGCAGCCAGAGGCGTCAGGCATGGTTTGGTGTTGGGCAACAAGGTGGCAAGGGGAACGGAGCATCCTGCACTTTGGGCATGCCAGCCCTGCTGCTGGTGAAGTGCAGGACACTGGGGGCATGGCGAGGGGCAGCATGGGCTCCGCCTCTCTCCGAGGGCTTGTGGTTGTGGCGTGGTTGGCAGAGGCTCGAGTGCAGCTGGTTGTTTCCTGGGGACAGTGGCAGTAACCCTTGGAAAGCCTTGGAATACGTGTATGGGTGTGTATAGGAGAGTGCTGCACAGGCAAGTTTGTTATGACCTTTGGATTGTTCCTTGGAACAAGGGTTCAAGTCTAAACATGATCTCAATGTGGGACTAACACTAAGCCATTTTTAAAAATTGCAGTTGAAGCTACACAAATGAGTAAATGAAACAGCAGACCTTATACCATTAAGCTAAAACATTATTTAGATTAGTGAGCTGGAATGGGAGAGAAAGAGGACATTGTTGAAAATCTTTCTTAAAGATACTGTATATCCCTCCTAAAGACAGCAGGATGGTGTGGAGATGAGGGAATCAAAGGGCAGAAAACACCATTTCCCTTTCAGCTGCCCTGGAGAGGGACTGAGGATGAGGACTAGTGTGTCTGTGTAACACCTGGTTTCCCAGTAGAGGAGCCTTCAGAGACAGGAGTGTGAAACATCTTCGAAGATGATTCAAGCAGAAATAAAGCAGCATGCAGGTTTTATAATGTGCAGTAAGGAGGCACTACGTGTCTTCCAGTTTCTGAGTAAATGGCAGGGCTGCATTGGGGAAATGTCACTTAAGTATTAATTAAACATGACAAAATTATCACGATTTTGATAGCAAATTGGCATGTCCCAAATACCAGCTTAACCATAAAATGTTAGGGTTCCCTTCCCTTGTTCATGTTTGGCTTTCTACTGAATACAGCAAACCATCTATTTTGAAAGAAGTAATGTCCTGTGGAGGGTTGCAGTGCAGAACAGGCTGTGGGGGCTTGTGGTAGAGTCCCAGGCAGGAAGAGGAGCTCTGAATTTGTTCTGTGCCCTGCAACACGCTGTATAGCAGCCTGGCAGCATCGTGAAACAAGGCAGAATTGTCGGCTTAGCAGTAAACTGGGTCCAAGCGTGGTCACAAGCTGCAGCAGCCCTGCAGGGCAGCAGGAGGGCATGGGATGCAGGGCAGCCTGGGCTCCAAGCTCAGGCTCAGGCAGCTTGTGTGGATTTGCTTTGGAGAGCCAAGTTCAATTGTCAGTGCATAGATGCAATCCTCAGCAAAACCACTGCCAGACCTCTCAGTAATTGGCACCTTCTGAACAAAAAGGCAAAGACAAAGTACGGGGGCAGAGAGATGGAGCTTTAGGCTCGGCTTGGAGCACAGACTTGCACAGAAGGGCATTTTGGCTGCAGCTCCTGCAAATTAATTGTAGGGTTAGAGAATGAGCTTCAGTCTCAGCATTTCATAACCATGACATGCAATCCATCTCAGTAAAACAGAAGGATGGCAGTATATTTCTAGGTGCTCTTTTGTCTGTAATCCCAAGGGGAAACTTTTCTTCAGTTTTACCAGACCTTGTCACTGCTCAAATCAATTTATTAGTTTTACCTCATTGTTTTCTGTCATTCCAAGTCCGGTGTCTTCAGATATTTCCTCATTTTCTTCTGAAGGTTCCTGCTAGGCTTATTTTGTCTGTTGGCATTTTGAGAAGAAAAATGTAATCGTCATGCTGACTGAATGTCAACTAATGCTGTGATTAAAAAGTAGCTTACAACAAAACTCTTTTTTGATGGACTGTTTTTTACTTCACATTTAATAAGCTGGAAAGGAGAGTCAAGAAGTAGAAGGAATTGGGGGGAATCTTTCTCTAAAATCAAGAATGAAATGAGTTAATTCAAGTTAATTTCTTAACTCCAGCCACCTTGTGACTTTCTAGTGAAACCCTTTACCCAGTCTATTCCAGCAAAGTTAGCAGTGCATCCCCAGAGCAGCACAGAATAGTTTGAGACATGCAGATTTTGTATATTTTCCAACTGAATGTATAATGAATTGAAAAATCTGATTAACAGGGGTAATCCATTAGGTTTAAAATTCATCTGGACATGAGCAGCATGGTCCACTATCAATGGTGGCCCTGCTTTGAATGGAGGGGGACATAGCAAGAAAACTGCCTGCAGTCCCCTTACAACCCAAATTGTTCTCTGATTCAACCAGGAACCTAGAGAGGTCCCTTCATCTTAAAGGACTTAAGATTGCTTGCCTTGTTTTAGGCTTTTTGTTCAGGATTGAGAGACAGTGCCTAATAGAGGCCTGCAATGTAGATATGTGAGAAAAAATGTTGAGCTGCACAGATTCTTTTGCTGATGACAAAACTTTGGTATTGCAGAGCCAGCTTTACATCACCCTCCCACCCTCTGGGAGCCCACAATGAGAGCAAAGCAAAAATAAGCTATTGTATCTGCAGATAAAGTATTTGAGTACTGTACTGCACTTCTCCCATTAACTCTCTGAGCAAAACTGCCTGAAAACAGCAAGCAATTGCTTGCTCCTCCCACCTCTCTTCATGTGCATCATTCAGCATTTTAAAAAATGCTACCCTTTCTCATAACTCCCCTTTCTAATCAAGGTAATGCAAAGTAAATACTTACATTTATGTAATAGAATGGCTTGGCCTATCTGTAAATGACAGCATATAAATCCCCTCTTAGGAATGGATGTAAACATTGGAACAGCAACTTTATCCATAATTCATCAAAAAAAACCCGCAGCAGAAATGCAAAGAAAAAAATGCAGAACTGAAAAAAATATTAATTTCATTAACTTTTAAGGAGACTACTGCCTGGGGGGCAAGGAAGGTGTGTGTACACATGCAGAAAACAGCAGCGCCTGGAACTAACATTCATTGCTCAATTTTGTAGTTTGCTCCCCAGAGCAAATGTCACTCTGCTTTTGTGTCTATTATGATGAACAAAAAATCCCTTCTAAGCTACAATGAAACAATTGGAAGGCTACAGGCAATAAATTAACTGGTTACTTAGATCAACTGATTTTATCCACCAAGTTTGCAAGCACCATGAAACTGCAAAAGCAAAATCTTGAAAAACATTAAAGATACCTAATTTTGTAGATGACATTTCCTTGCTTATTGCCATCAACAAGTTTTTCACTTGGTTTAATAAAATTATTTGCAATATTTTTGTATATTTTTAAAAAGCAAATGCACAGGATGCAAGGCTTAACATGTGTTTTCAAATGGCAGAAACAGCCCCTGCTATCATAAAGGCAGTTGAGCTCAAATCATGTCAGGTTTTGATCTTTCAGAACATTGCTCTGTCTGCTCCCTTATTTTAGATAATTTAGGTTATTTTGTGGTGTTACTGCCTCTGCCTTAGTTTTGTGAAGCCAAACACCTATGGAAGGTTTGTGATAAGAGACTTGAAGTTGGGATTGCAGGTAGTGTCAAAGCCCCCTGCGCTGCTTGTGCTGTTTGATGGGGAATTTTGCCACCACAGGCCACAGAAATTCAAAGTGGACTTGACTCTCTCTGGTGGAATGGCTGAAATGCATTTCATGGGGTTTGGGCAGCACAGCTTAGCAGCATTCCCTTTGAGAATTCCCTTTGTTTCACCTGCATGGGACAGAAAGCTTCTGAGAGTGCCTGAGGAGGAGCACATGAGGGTGTAGAGGACTGAGTGTGTGTTTGTGGAGAGAAAGGGACAGACGGCTGCAAAGAATGAGCTGAAGTGACTTTTGCAAGCACCCTGCACTGTGTTACCCTGCAAGGACTGTACTGGAGGGCAAAGAGAGCAAGAAGCCCTTCATTTATCATCTTTAGTGAAAGCTTCTCTGGCATTTAAAGGTTACTGGGCATCTTAGTAGATCCTAGTCACTGGAAAACACAAGCTTTGTAGTGCTAGGAGCAGAGCAGAGAGCAAACTCCGCTGTGCCTTTTGCAGTGGAGAAGCCAGTGTCACACAGCCCGCTCTCTCCAGCTTGGCACACTTGAGCAGGGGCAGCCACAAGGTCAGTCTAGAAGGCAACTACAAACCTTGAGCAAAACCTAAAGTACAGAGCAGCAGCCAAGAACTGTTTTGTCTTCACAGCAGGAAGTCATCATGGAGAACCAAACCATGTCGTGGTAACTCCCAGGCAGTTTCAGTTCTGATGCAGTTTCTGAACAAGGATAGCTTTGGCCACATCATGCAAGGTCAGACTGACCATTTGTAAAATGACACTACAAGCACAGAGGGTTCTCCCATCTCAGAGGGGTGCTATAAGGATAACATTCACTAATGCTGGTGAAAGATGCTTGGATACTACAGGGAACAGTGTCACAGAAATGCCTAAAAATAATGAATTCATATTTGCATGTTCTAATTGTGCCTTTGGGTTCTCTAAAATTGACTTGTTTTTAGTTTTATAGAAATACTTTTAGAATTGAGAGTGAGAAGTAGTGTCTGGAAGCAGCATCCTAAAAAAAAAAAAAAGGCAACGCAAAATCTGAAGGATCTTGCTCAGAAAAGAGGGGAAAGGAAGTTTGGGAGCTTCATCTCTTCCCAGCCTGCCCTCTGACCATGGATTATTCTGCAGGACAATATCTTGTTTTGTTCTCAGCAGGCTAACAGTGCTGAAAGAGGCAAAAGCAATAGCTAGCCAGACTTTTCCAAAGTTGCCCTGAGATTAAGGTCAATTCTCAATCAACACACTTCTCTAGGGAAAAGGCCCCATTTTTCAGTTTGTTCCTATAATTTGAAGGTAAAACTGAGGACTAGGCAAATACATATTTCACTTGAGAGGTATCAGTGGGTTTTCATTTCTTTCAGAATATCTTTCAGCATTGACATCAAATTCTTTCTTAGGATAAAGCTGTCTTTATGCAAAGCAGTGTGCCTAATAGCCATCCTCGACTACTTAAACAAGTCAATTTTGCAAGGACTGTAGCTGTCAAGCCAGAGCACTGTTTGGAACTACAGTACAGGGATCCTAGATTTTAAATGAAATGTTACCTCATGCATCATTTTCTATCATACTTGTAAAATTCCGGTTAGTTTATCTCAAAATAAATGTTGCTTTCTGTAATTTGTACACATGCTAAAGCTGCTGGTATGTTTTTTTGATAACTGTTCTGCTTTGCTTTAAACGTGGATTTTCGTTAAACAAAAATGAAGGTTAAAACTTTGTACATTTTTAAGATGACTGCTAAGGTCAGAAGTATAAAAGTATATGTCGCATTAAAATTGAGTGCTGTTTATGTATTTAACATAGATGTACGTTTTTGCATTGTTAAAAAGAACGATCCATGCTTTCTTTGAGGGGGATCTGTGCTCCAATATTGTCCGATAGCTTTCATATTCTAATTACTTTAATTAAAGTTCTAACAGTTTGCATATGATTCATGATTCTGATTTCTTCTGTTTTATTAAATCTGATAATCTGACATGGTCTAAAATGCTCTTCTCATTTGGAACAAGAAAAATATACCTCCTGGTGAGAAATTAATCCAACACTCAAATTGTTTTTGAATTATGAGCATGATGCTGCCAACTGCAAGGTCTTAACTTGAAGTTAATGAAATCCAAAGGTAAATGATGCAAGAAAAGCTCTTTATTTCTACAAAACCTCCAAGTGTCGTTGATATGGAAATACCATAGTCAGAATACTTTTTCCATACCAAATCAAATACTTTCATCATTCCTGTTAAACAGACACTTAGTATTTAAAGGGACAGCATTACTTTCATCAGGCTGAGGCAAATTCAAGTGTCAGGAGAAGATTCATGCATCTGGCTGGTCACCAAAGCTGTTCTTATGAAGCTGCAAAAGCATTCTTAATCAAAAATGGATTTTTATTTCGATCACATTCCTTAAGTATTCCCAAATGACCAAATGTGAGCCACTTAGAGCCAGTGAGAAGACTGGCTTTTAGTGTTTTGACACTTGAACAACCACTGGTTTTAAAATGGTCTTGGAGAGATACCATGGTAAGACTCTGCTCATTAGCCCTTGGGATCCTGGTGCCTCAGCTCTCCTTACACTGGCCCACAGCAGAGATCCAGCCTTAGGGTTTCCTGCACCTTGTCAGCCTTTCAGTTCCTGCCTGTTTCTTCTTGTCTCCTCCCTTTGGGGATCCATGACCACCCTCTCATGCCCCTGGCATCTGTGAAGTGCTGGGAACTACAGCTCTGTTTCTCCTGGGCCTTGGTGAAGGGCTATCCAGGGGACATTCAGAGAACCCTGAACTGGCTCTAGCCATGTCCAGCTCCCCCATCCCACTCTCCAGCCATGGCTGCAGAAAGGATTGGTTTATGTCTAGTTACATTCTTGAGACCATGAGGACTGAGCAGAGTCTGAGACCGTGAGGACTGAGCAGAGCGGAGAACAAAATCAGGGTATCTACACCAGCAAGTGATGTCTCTCACTGGGCCTTGCTGGCTGCTGGCACCTGCTGGCACAGCTGTCCCATGCACAGAATGGTCCCTGACCTTCCCAAGCCCTCCCTGCCCAGAGCACTGCCCTGGCAGGAGGCCATGCTAGAGCAAAATAGGAAAAGAAAAGGGAGTTTGGATAGGGCTCAGAAAAATAGACTGTCCTTGTTCCACTCATGAGGCCAGGCCAGGGAGCAAACATGCCATGGCTTGGAAGGCCAGAGCCTGTTTGGAAATGGGTTTGAGAATTGCTGCCACACTGCTTCATTTTGAGCAGACTGAGCAAGGCCAAACAGCACGGAGTCACATGGTGGCCAGTTTGACATTTCTCAAATGAAGCTTTCTCTTTCAGGGG